GTTCTGTGTTGGAACCATGACTTGAAGTCAACACACCACTATCCGTTTGCATGCATTTTGGCCCTGTCTGTAGGTCCTCAGCATCTCCTTTCCTTCTCATTTACTAACTTCTCCAGTAAACCACAGCTCTAGGAACAGCATCTCACAGTGGGGTCTGGGGACCCCAGAGTGACAAGCAGCGAGCTTTGCTTCACGTTGGATGAGGAACAGGGGACAAGAGAAAAGAACCATGGCACCAAGGCTAGAACAGGTCAGGAGTAGAAACTGGGCATCAGAGTCACTCCTTTGAACACTGAGACCATAGAGGATAGTCACCCTGCAGAAATGGCGCACCAAGCTGGAAGAATACATTACAGTTTTGTGGGCATGGCTGCTTAATAGCCTGTGACACACTGGTGTGGTTACTGCACAAGAAATAGCTCAATGGCCTGATATCACAGGACAGGTCGCTTAAAAATAATGGTGACTTCTAATGTCAATGAAGGATAAAAAGTGTTGCCTCCTGTGCATGTAGCTTATTAAGTCATGATTGGCATGACTTTTTAAAAAAGAAGGTAAAGCAGTGAGTGTCCTTATTGAGGCTCAAAAGTTCTAGCATCTTCTATTCAAAAAAGCATACCAGAAGATAATTTTGTATCCCTTAGCAGGAAAGAGTCAGAACTTATTTACTTTTCACAATTCTGCATCTCTCCTAGAACTGGCATCAGGTTAGCCTTGTATAGACCTCGGTAATTCTATATAGTAAAATGGGACTTGGTTGCCCTTCTACTATTCCCTTCTGTCCATCATTTCCTCCACCCTGAATGGTGGAACAGGGATGACCACATCTGTGCAAAGGAAAGCCTGTGGAAACAAAAGGCCTACTTGCAACAGGGTATCTTAGCTGTCGTCCATTGTGACTCAGGTTCCTTGTCTGAAAATCTGAAATACCACAATAGTCTCATCCTTCAAGGGACCGAGTGTTAAAGGAAAAACTAACCACGTCCATTGCTTCCTGTTGAGACCAAGCAACACGACTGACTTGCACTGGGGGACCACACCATGAGAAAGTCAGTGCCTTTGAACATGCTACTGCACGGCAATAGTTCATCCAGACATAGATTCACAATCCAAGAAGCTCTCGGAAACTCCAAGGGAGCAGAGCAGTCTGGGCCTCCAGTCACAGACTGGCTCATTCCAGGGCACTAACTTCCTCAGTGACACCGAGGGAACTTGCCTAAAATCTCCTAACTCAGGCATCCCTCTCTCCCACCCTTTCTCCCTCACTTTTGTCAGCCCCCTTACTAAAATCCAGCCAACTGAATCTCAGTCTGGTGCACGTCCCATTCAAAAGGTTACTACAACACTGAAATAATTCGCCTGCCAACCCGGTGAGCTTACTTACATCCCAGACACAGAAAGATCTGGATTCATCAGAGGGGTCAAAGGACATGGAACTCTAATCAGGAGCTTCCAGTCAATGAGGGCTCAGAAGGCGTGCTAGAGCCAGCCCATTCCTACCAAACACAGGACATTTGCAACCATACCAACAGCAACCTTTGTCCTGTACAGTCTACCAGCCTGGCCAAGCCTTTCCCAAAACTGTACAACCAATCCATGCCTCCCTCTCTCCCTGCTTCCCTCCCTCCCTCCCTGCCTCCCTTCCTCTCTCCTCCTTCTTTTTTTCCTGTTTTCATTTCTTCCTCCCTCAGGGATGTCCCATAACCTGAGGATTTCCCCACCCACTCCACGGGAATTTTCCTTGCACTTCTCACGCTGCCCTACCATCTCTCCCAGACCACCCAGGCCAGCCCAGGATAAAGTACTGACCATCAGAGGAACATCCCAGGAACGTGAGCCATACACTATAATAATAAGTACCAGCTGATTAACCCACTGGCTCTCCCTAAGCAGAAGCTTGGGATAGCAACCCTCAGGACGGCCTGACCCCACTGTCCTCAGAGGAACCTCAGGCCTTACCATCCCACATCTAAGTATTACAGCACATCTGCTTTTCCTGGTGCCACTGCTTGCTGGGAGAATTTCAAACCCTGAAAGACTGGAGAATGTTCATATTAGCTTGGGAAGAGAGGCCTCTGCAATGCCTCGTCTCAGGAAGAGAACACGAGAGGCCCGAGGAGCCTCTTAGGGGAATCTTCAGCAACGAGAGGCTTGGTTAAACAGTCTTTCCTGAAAGAGCTGTGGGTCAAGTCATCATCTTCTATCTAGTGTGCCAGTGTCCTGGGCCGTTTATTAGTGTTAGAGAGGGAATGGCAGTCCAGGCAGTAAGGGACATATGGAATTAATGACAACATGCACCAGCCTGCAGGACCAAGGCATGCCTGTGAGAGCACATGGACTACTGCTCGCTGACAGATCCCACAGCTGCTATAGAGAACCTGTTGTGATGACAGCTGTAAAATGCCACTCTCCTGAGATCTAAGAGGATGGTTCCAATTTGGTGACCACAGACTTCACAGAGGAGCCATGAGCACTATAATGGCTTGTGATAAAGGCGTTATTGATGCTTTGCTTAGTACTATAGAGAAACAACGGTAATTCGGTGTTTTGTTAAACTGCTTTGGAGGCAATGCTGCCTAAAGAGCAACAAGCTTGGCTCAGAGGACTTCTCAATGAAGCCCATGGCCAGTTTTCCTTCAGAAAGCACTTCCTCCATCAAAATATGAGAGAGGAATCAGTTTGCATCTGGTTATGCACACAGAGTCCATGCTAGCAGACCCCAGTATGTTCAGGGCTCAAGGGGCAAGGCCAGGAAGAAAAGAGACGATTCCAGAGATGGCTGCAAGCTTCATGCACTTCACAAAGTGCACAGCATCCGGGGTACCATCACTGAACTCAGAAGTGCACCTTTCACATTGCTGACACAAGGGTCCCACAGGAATGGGAGGGTGCCCAGCACAGTCACCCCCACCACCTCTGGAGAAAGGGAAGCCATTGCAAATCAATACTAGATTAAACTGCAGCTGTGCTTATCTGTCCCTGTCACAGGTTACCCTCCCATAACCCCCACTTCCATCCGTCAGACAATGTTAATCTGCCTTGCAGAGTAAGAAAAGCTTGGCCTGAGGCTGTGACCACTCTGACTCGGAATCACAAAGCCAATCTCTCCCTATCTGTGTCACTGCGGACAAGCTACTTTTAGAGACTCAGTTTCTTCACCTGAAAATGGGAATAAGACAACATGACTGTGGGGGGCAAAATGCCATGCATGTAAAGTGTCATAGCATCTTGCAACATCAGGTTTAAAATCGATCACAATTGGGTATATAACGTGTGGCAGATACACACCCAGAGAGAAAAATCCCTGCCCTTATATTTATCATCTGTATTGAGAAAGAAGAAAGAATTTTTTAAAATATTGCAACTGTAACAGCTCACTTTTACATTAAAGACTTTAAGCTGATCACTTCATCTATCCTTCTGTGACAAAGAACCATTTTTCTCCCATTGAGCAGGTTAGGACACTGAAGCACAGTGAAGTTCAGTAATTGTACAAGAAATGGCAAGGCCTAGGCTTATTTACAGGCAATCTGACACCACAACATACATTATAATAAAAGCTGGCCAGAGAGGGAGCTTCTGGGGCTCGCAAAATTATTCATGTGTGTTTCTGAACTGGCTTTGTTTCATTTAGAAGTATTTAAAATTATAATACTAGTAATTCGAAGTTTGCCATTTCATGATCTGAGCAAAGACTAGTTATGTGTTTCGTATGTCACATTTTCCAACCACAGGCATGGGGTGAAGTTAATGCACTATTATGACAATATTTGTTTCCACGGTTTGTAGCAGTGGCTCAGACGCAAGTGGGGAATTATATTTTTAACTTGCAGTAGTAGGTACCTTTTCCCCAGGGTCCCCTAGGGAGAAAGAGGAGTGGGTATAAGGAACACGTGACTTTTCCTTTGTTTGACTCTACTCTTTAAAAGTATTTACTTATTTTTTTTTTTTATAGGTGTGAGTTTCCCCCTGCATGTTGGCACTGGGAACCAAACCCAGGTCCTCTCAAGGGCAGCAAGCACTCTGAACCACAAGCCATCTGTCCACGCCCAGCTTGGCTCTACTCTTGTACCCTCCTGGTTGACATCTCCTTCCCCCTCTCCTGGTCTATAGAACTTGAGAGAGACATTTCTTGTGGGTTTTATTTAGTACTATGGTAGATTGCTTAATGTTTATTAAGAATGTCTCTGGGGTTGGTCATAGTGGCAAATTCCTAAAATCCCAGCACTCAGAAGTTAAGTCAGAAAGTTAAAAGTTCAAGCCCAGGCTGGGCTACACAGCGAGAAACGGTTTCAACAAAAAAGCTTACTGGCTTGTATACACCTTCCTTTCCACCCCAAGAATCAAAAGAAAAAGACCCAAGCCAGGGCCATTTCTTAGTCTATCACCTACACCAGCTCAGTCTTTCTAATCAAGAAGTTCTACTACCAGAGAACCTATGCAGAAAGACCCAGAGTTGTGTGAAAAGATGGTCCCTTGAAGGCTGCATTGCAAGAAGCTAGAATGAATGCACTCAAATATTAGAGTCTCCAAGCCTTATCTCCAAAATGGGATCAATCTTTATATAGTTCTACTTGCATTAAATTTGTAAACCATACTAAAAATATGATTACAGGCAGGAAAGTGATAAAAATATCCACTGTTCCTGTGAAGGAGACACAAGAAACACTTCCTGGGCAGTGAGCAGATGTATAGAGGAAGTTCTCAGTAGGCATACACTGCAGTGTGCATCAGAGCCTGTCCTCCTACAGTGAGTCTGCTAGCCCCTCCCCTCTCAACAGGTTTCTGATCAGAGTCTGCTCATTTCGTGGGGCGTGCCTGCCCCAACCCCTTGAAAGTAAAGACTAATTACACAGAGCCCACAGAGCCATTAGAGAGTTCCTAGAACTTCTGGGCTTCCTGACACCAACTCCAGGTTCAAGACCTCTTCTGTTGTTTCTTAGCCCAAGTCCAGTTAGCACCTCGGACAGTGACATCTCTTGAGGCCAGAGCAGAAGTACCTGTTGGTTTGCTCTGTAAGCAGGTGCAGCTCCCTTGTCCCTCATTTGTTCCTCTGCTTCTGAGAACACGGTTTCTTCCTCCAGCTCCTCACTCTCCTCCGAACAGGAATCAAATACATCAGCATAATACTCTTCAGCAACAAGTGGGTCTTCTGGGATCCCTGAAATAGAGGATAAGAAATAACTGCAGCCATTGAAGTCATAACAGGGTGATCTGGGACACTTGCGTGTCCCCAGAGATTGGCACTGACAAAGCTTCCTTGGAGCACAGTGCTGACTCTTGGCTTCCTGAAAGTGTCTGCTGGATATAATCGGCAAAACTAAGCCAGCAGAATGAGGGACAGTCACCTTTGAAGTTAGAAGAACAGAACCACGGGACAAGAGTAAATGATCTCTTTTGTAGTTTTTACATGAGCCCTTATTAAAAATGAAGGGAGTCAGGAGAAAAATAAGGATGAGATGCCGCATCAAGGCCTTGTTATGCAACACACAAAACTTTATAGCTGAGAACAGTGGGAAGGAGAGTGTGTTAGTATTCTTATGGAAGTTTCTTTTTAAAAAAAGAAAGGAAGGAAGGAAGGTTCAGTAGTGAGACAAACTAAGATGGGTAAGATATTTCAAATGACATTAGGCCAAACTAAGGAGGATATCACAACTCTTTGCTAACAGGCTGTGGATTCAGACTTTTCAAGTGGAGTTTGCTGTGGTGGGTTATATTCATACTCACAGAGGGCATTTGTTAAAAGAAAGAAAGGAAGGAAGGAAGGAAGGAAGGAAGGAAGGAAGGAAGGAAGAAAGGGGAAGATTATCCATGGTAACTGATGCCAATAACTCAAGTTGCTTGGAGCAGTATCACTAGCAACTAAAACAGAGTTGGTGCCTATAAGAATATCAACAAAGAAAGGTCAAGGGTACGTTACAGGGGCAGGGCATTAGAAACTCTAATTTACCAATGGGAACTAGCAACAGAGAAATAACTCTGGGTATGACAGGAAGAAATTACATAACGATACTCTAGTGCATGCCAGGTTAGGCTTTGCAGCACTCTGACTTATAAACAGAATTATTGTTCTTGCTAGCAATGGAGAGCACTGTTACTATTTCCTATCTGGTAGGGAAGTGTGACATGCAGGGTCAGAGGACTGGGAAAGTGTGGCATTCAAGATCACAGGATTGGGGAAGTGTGGCATTTAGGGTCAGAGAATCGCAGTCTGACCCAACCTCTGCCTGCTTACATATAAAACTCTGGGTAAAGCCAAACTCCAGGAATCCAGTCAAAGGGAGGGAAGAGGAAATATAAGAGCAAGGGAGGTCAAGATCATGAAGGGTAAATCTACAGAGACAGCTCTGGAGCCTCCATGGGACTGAATTATCTTCAGGCTCTTTGCATGTGGGAGACAGTTGGTGCAGCTTGGTCTGAGGAACCCCTGGATCTATTCCTGGAGCATGAGCTAGCTTGTTGGAGCCTATTCCCTATGGTGGGAAGCCATGCTCAACCTTAATGCAGGAGGGAGAGGCTTGGTCCTACCTCAACTTAATGTACTAGGCTTTGTTGACTCCCATGAGATGCCTTATCCTTTGGGAGCAGTGGATGGGGAATAAGCTGGGAAAGAGGTGGGGGGAGGGGTGGGAAGAATGTAAAATGAAATTAAAACAAATGAATTAAAATGCAAAGAAAAAATCTCTGGGTAAGATGCTTACATTTACAGAACTCTGGTTTCTGCAGTAACATTAATGTAAGGTACTCTAGTCATGTGACTTGCAGACCCCATAATAAGTTGCTTATGAAAACATCTGCATGCAGAAAAATAAACGGAACTTCCACCCAATTTCTATATCTCTAAAAAATGAGATTTTCATCAACTCCAGGGTCCTTTGAAATAGAACACTAGCTGTAGACTTAATCAGCAAAAGGAGACTTAAACTTTCAAAATTATACTTCCTCTTTCTGGGGGTTTGGCACAATGCTGCGTGCAGCTGGAAGTGAGAGGACAATGTGTGGGAGTCAGCTCTCTCCCACGTGGGGCCTGGGGATCAAAGCCCATCTTCAGGATCCCCTGCTTAGCCATCAGGCCAGATCCCAAAGGAAGAACTTACAATAGTCTCCTTATCCACACTTTTCTGCAAAACACAAGAGACCAACTCAATCCCTCATGTTTCATGCCCCACCCGCTCCCTTCTACACTACTTCCCAGTTTACCCAGGAGATCTTAATTATTTCCTTTTCCTGAGGCCCTCTTTGTGTGTCCCACTTAGGGTCCCCCTTTTTAACCTAGCTTCTCTGGGGCTGTGGGCTATAGCCTGGTTATCCATTGCTTTACATCGAATATTCACCTATGAATGAGTAAATACTGTATTTGTCATTCTGGGTCTGGGTTATCTCACTCAGGATGGTTTTTCTAGTTCCACCCATTTGCCTGCAAATTTCAAAATGTCTTTGTTTTTACCGCTGAGTAATACTCCATTGTGTAAACGTACATTTTCTTTATTCTTTAGTAGAGGGGCATTTAGGTTGTTTGCAGGTTCTGGCTATTATGATAATGCTGCTGTGAACATAGTTGAGCAAATGTCCTTGTAGTGTGAGTGTGCATCCTTTGGGTATGTGTCCAAAAGTGGTGTGGCTGGATCTTGAGGTAGATTGATTCCAGATTTTCTGAGAAACCACCTCACTGATTTCCAAAGTAGTACAAGTTTGCACTCCGACCAGCAATGAAAGAATGTTCCCCTTTCTCCACATCCTCTCCAGTATAAGCTGTCATCAGTGTTTCTGATCTTGGCCATTCTGACAGGTGTAAGATAGTATCTCAGAGTCCTTTGATTTGCATTTCCCTGATGATTAAGGATGTTGAGCATTTCCTTAAGTGTCTTATGGCCATTTGAAATTCTTCTGTTGAGAATTCTTTGTTTAGGTCTGTACTCAGTTTTTAAATTATATTATTTGATATTCTGATGTCTAGTTTCTTGAGTTCTTTAAGTCAGGGAAGGAATTGAGAGGGAGAACAATGAAAGAGATATTGTGATAGAGGGAGTTATTATGGGGTTAGGGAGAAACCTGGCGCTAGGGAAACTCCTAGGAATCCACAAGGATGACCCCAGCTAAGTCTTCTAGCAATAGTGGAGAGGGTGCCTGAACTGGCCTTCCCCTATAATCAGATTAGTGACCACACTAACTTCCATCCTAGAATGGACTTCAAGTAACTGATGGAAGCAGATGCAGTGATCCACGGCCAAACACTGGGCTTAGTTCCTGGAGTTCAGTTAAAGAGAGGGAGGAGGGATCATATGAGCAAGAGGGGTCAAGATCATGATTGGGAAATCCACAAAGACACCTGACCCAAACTAGCAATAGCTCGGGGACTCTGGACTGACAACTGGGGAACCAGTATGGGAATGAACTAAGATCTCTGAATGTAGGTGATTATTATGGGGCTTGATCTGTTTGAGGGGGCTGGCAGTGGGGCAGGACTTATCCCGGGTACATGAACTGGCTTTCTGGAGCCCATTACCTATGGCAGGATACCTTGCTCAGCCTGATTCAGGGAGGGGGCAGGTTGGTCCTGTCTCAATTTGGTATTCCAGACTTTGGGGATTCCCCAAGGAAGACCTTATCCCTTCTGAGGAGGAAATAGAAGGTGAGATGAGGGGGAGATGGGGAGGAAGGAGAAGGGGAGGGGGAACTGGGATTGGAATGAAAGAATAATAAAAATAAAAAATAAATATAAAAAGAGGAAAAACAAAACCAAGCGGTACACACAGTGGGATCAAATTAGCTCAATGACAAAAATTGCATATATTCCCAACAGTTTTTGACAATTCTTAGGGTAGGATTTATACACCCTAGGATTTATATACTCTGTTATTTCAACCCAGCTGGAATGAGCTGGGATGAGCTGGGATGAGCTGGGATGAGCTGGGATGAGCTGGGATGAGCTGGGATGAGCTGGGATGAGCTGGGATGAGCTTCACCACAGCATGAGACATACCTGAGAACCAAAAGCTGCCTAAGGATCTCAGACCTCACCACCAAGCAGGAGCCTGTGCTGAGAGGTCTGGTGGACAGCCACAAGCTTCCCACATAACTCCCCCTTTGTCCCTCCCCCCACCACATCCCGAACCCCGATGTCTCTGTCAGACTTTCCCCCTCCCTACCCTCCTTCCCAAGTCTTTCCATGTCTTTTAGTTATTTATTCATTCACTTTTTTGCATTTCCCCCTTCTGCTCTCCCCTTTCCATCTCCCCTTTCCCTCCTCTGCTTTCAAACTTGATTATGACATAGTAACACCATGTTCCAGTTTGCACCAGGGTGTTTATGTGTGTATTCACTTAAAATCTCTAGGATTAAAACTGAGTTTTCAGGAATAAAGACTTACTCATTCAAACTACATGTTTGGTATTTTCCATTCTAGTCAGCATTTTGAAATGCTGTTTAGCAAGTCACAAAAAGTGACTTCTCAATTCACAGCTTGACACACACTGGTTTCGAATGCTGGCTTCTGTGTTAAAAGGACCCACTTGTATATCGAGACCAACAGTGGCTCCCCAGCACTGGGTACCAGATTAACTTTATGCATTCGGTTTTCTCGTCTATAAAACATGGGTAATTATCTGGAATTATTGTGAATAATCAATAGTATAGCAGAAACAAGGTATTATTCACTGTGTTATGGGACTTTACTCACTAACATTAGCTGATATTGGGAGCTGTACAATGTGGCAGACATCTTGATTTTGCCCACTAATACCCAAAATCAGGAAGGTACATCACACAATCATAATTATATACCAGATGTGAAATGTTCATTATTATATTCAGTCTGTATAGATTTTCAGAACTGACTCAAAAGCCCAGTAAGGAATGATGTCCCATTGGTTTTTTTCTTCTGCTGGCCTCCACAGGGCCTCATGTGCCTGGTCCACAAGGGTGCTGAGTTCTCGTCAAACAGCTTAGGAAGACATGGGATCCTACAGTGAAAGGCTAGCTAGTCAAATCATCAGCTTCATAGGTTATGTGGTTTTAATTGTAGTTATTTGACTGCTTTGAAAACAATCAAAATTCAAATGATGAGTGTGTTTGTGTTTCAATAAACCTGGCCAGGTCTTATCTGTACCACCCAGACATTTTCCTCTTGGAAAAACAAACAAACAAAAAATCAAACCAAAA